GATGAAGTCTACTTGATTATGGTGGAGGATGTTTTGGATGTGTCCTTGGATTGAGTTTGCAAATATTTTATTGAGAATTCTTGCATATACGTTCACAAGAGAAATTGATATGTAATTCTCTTTGTTGGCTTTCTATATGTGTTAGATATATTTTGCAGTCTTATAAAAACTGGATAATGATCCTTCTGTTTCTAATTTGTGGAATAATGGAAGAGTATTTAGTACTATTTGCTAAAACTGTTGTAGAATTCTGTACTAAAACCATCTGGTCCTGGGCTCCTTAATATTTTTTTCCTTGAGGACATTTAATCACTGTTTCTATTTCATTAGGATTCATAGGTCTATTTAAACTGTTTATCTCACTTTGATTTGACATTGGTAGGTGGTATGTACTGAGATAACTATCCATTTCCTTTAGATTTCTAATTTACTGGACAATAGATTTTTAAAGTATGTTTTTTATGTTTCTCTGGACTTCCTCGGTATCTGCTGTTATGTCTCATTTTCATCTCTAATTTTATTAATTTAAATATCTTCTGTACACTTTTAATTAACTTGGACAAGGGTTTGTCAATCTTGGTGGATTTCTCAAAGAATCAATTCTTTGTTTCATTAATTATTTGTATTATTTGTTTCTATTTTCTTGATTTTAGTGCCACATTTAATTATTTCTTGCCTTCTAATCCTTTAGGTTGTAATTTCTTTTTTTTGTTCTAGATCTTTCAAGTGTGCTGTTAAGTTACTTGTATGTACATTCTTTTTAATGTAGGCACTCAGTGCTATGAACTTGCCTCTTACAACGTCTTCATTGTGTCTCATAAGTTTTGATGTGTTGATATTAATTTTTATTCCATTTAAGAAAGTTTTTCACTTCTTTCCCAATTTATGTCTTTCTTGACAAATTTTTTATTCAGTATAGAGTTTCTCAGTTAACATGAGTTTGTAGACTTTCTGTTGTTTCCATTATTGTTAATACCAGTTTAATTATTTGTGATCTGATAGTATGTTGGGTGTTAATTTTATTTTCCTATATGTGTTCAGACTTTCTCATTCTACATGTATGTGATCCATGAGCTGCTGAAAAAAAGTATAATCTTTTGTTTGGGATACATATATATATATATATATATATATATATATATATATATATCATATTATATAATATATGACTAATGAGCTTAAATAAGCATTCTAAATTAATAAACTCCACTTATATTTAAATAAATACGTATGATAATCTTACTTTTAAAGCTCATTTATTTTTAAGTGTGTGTGTGTGTGTGTGTGTGTGTGTGTGTAGGTAATGTATATATATTATAGGTTCATGCAGACACCAGAAGACACTGAATCCCATGAAAATGGTCTTATAAGATGCTGTGAGCTACCCAAAACGTGTTCTGAGAACCAAACTTGTGTATTCTGTAAGAGTAGTACATGCCCCTAACTTCTATGACATCTTGCAGAACCCCATATTTAAAGAACTTTTATTAGCTTAACTTAACTTAACTTTAGATTAACTTTTATTAGGCTGTAGGGTCAATCTTAATATATGAACAAAGGACATACATTTTGCAAACATCAAATGATAATATATTTTACATTATCGAATTCATTTTCCAAAGCCGTTTCTTACTGACAAATGGGATAGTGACATTTATAAATCCCATGTAATTTTATTTGTTCTAGTTTTTATTATTCTATTAAAAATATTATAAATTATAGTCAAATGAGTATGTAAATAAAAATGATAATAATCTCTATATCCTATACAATGCCTGACTAAAATAAGACAGGCATCAATTGTTTTAAAGCATTCTGTTACTAAACTTATACCCAACTCCTGAAGATATTACTATTCTTGAATATTTGTATAGGTCTATTACAAATGAGATCTTTGAGAAACAATTCCCAGAAAGATTTTGTAATAGATTTTAAAGTGTCTTTGCAGCACTAGTTAACTACATTCCCAAAATGTTCTGCAAATTAACTAATAGCAGACAGTGAATTTCAAAAAGATCTTTTCTGTCGGCCTAATGAGGTATGGTATTTGATGAGTTCTGTAGTAAAAAAAAAAGTATGGAAGTTACATTTCCAATGTTCCTCATAATTAAAAATTATATTTATGTCCAAAATGGCATAAGACTAATATTATATCAATGTATAGAAGAATTGGTGTTTTAGAACACATTTTAAGTAACTGTGGGAATGACAGTGGAATGATAATTAAGCATTTCTAGGTAAATATCCTACTTGTAAAATATGATATTTAAAAATAAAATAAGTGGAAAAGTCAGCTAAGAGAGCATATGTGATGATATAGGACAAATCATCCCAGAGCTTATGCCATATATTGATCTTTTTCACTGGATTCTTATGAAAATCTAATGAAGCAACAGCTCTTAAAACCCATAGACACTCATATGCAAGTTTCCAAAACACTGTGTTGTGTAGAGAGGTCCTGATGCTAAGGTCTTGTTCCCCAGTTGGTTCTTGATTTGTCAGTAAAGAAGGCCAGGGACATATTGTTAGGTGGGAGTTACAGGTGGGACTTCTATGTCCAAGGAGGAAAAGATAGATTCAGGGAAGAAGAGAGGAGCTTTCTGAGATGCTTTGGAGGAAGGAGAACACAGCATCCATGTGATGTCTCAGGGTGAGCTTGGGCCTGTGGCCCCCTTTATAGGAGGGTGGCCAAGGATAATTGGCAGGGGCTAGGTGGTACTAACCACTGAAGTTTAGGACAAGTGAAGAGACAGAGATCATAAATTGTCAAGGGCATGCTTTTCCAGAAGGGAGATAGTAACATCCAGCATTTGTGCCTAAAAGTAATAAACTGTGTGTGTGTGTGTGTGTGTGTGTGTGTGTGTGTGTGTGTGTGTGTGTGTGTGT